AATAATTACCCATATATATATATATATATATTTATTTATTTATTTATTTATTTATTTATTTGGGAGGGGGGGTGCTTATTATAATTATAGTACAACATACCCCTAAACCTTATTCTGAATTTTAAGGCCCCTACATTATGCTCTAGAAGGCGACCTGTGATCTCGAGGACGGTCTTGCATCTCTGCAAGAAAAGCTGGAGGCAGTTCGTGCCCAGGTAGTTCTTCGGTTTAGAATTTAGGGTTTAGGGAACCCTAAACCCTAAACCCGTTCAGGGGCGCATCGTTCATGACCCTGCACAGACGATGAACTGCGGCCTCAAGCAGCGAAGGGCCCGGTCGTATATGAGGACGATGGGTTTGTTGCTCGGTATAATATAGGGGCTTCAATAGGCATGACGGAGCTCTGGGATAACTGCCGAGGACTCCCTCGCCGCGGAGGAGAAATCTTATCATGACGAACCGAGTGGACCCATTGTGTTTGTCCTCTGGTAGCTGGCGCACAAATCTGCACTGCTTGAGCTTATCATGCATAATTACAGCACCAAAGATTCAGGAAATCGGCTTCGTGGGTGGTGCCGGCACGCACCTCCGAATCACAGTCAGGGGCTTGCTGATCCTGCAAAACGTCTACCAGATGATGCACTTGAGCTCTTGATTTTTGCTATGTGTCCGGCCATGTCGTCGTGGTGTTTGCAGTGTTGGATGCCTGATGCAGGCGTAGAGTTCGACATGCTGATGTCCTGGAGTCTGCATGTCAGAGCATGATCCCGCACTGAAGCCCTTATGATCCAGCGCCCTACATCCTCAACCCCCCCAAAGAGCAAGAGTGGAGTTACCCACTCCGAAACACCATCAATCAGGGCTGACCCCTAAGCCCCTAAACCCTAAACCATTTGACCCTAAGTCCCTTAAACCCTTAAAGCCCTAAACCCATAAACCCTAAACCCTTAGACCCTGAACCCTTAAGCCCTAAGCCCTAAACCCCTAAACCCTTAAACCCTAAGCCTTAACCCTAAACCCTACACCCTGGCTTTGGAGTCAAGACCCAACCCAGAGACTCCAAAACCCCTCAATTAAGGAATATACCTTAAGTTATATTAAGAATCATGGTAGGAACCCACATAAGATTTAAGGTATAGTCCTTAGTTTATAATCGGAACCCAAATAAGACTCAAGGTATATTCCTTAATTAAGGAATGTACATTCAGCTATAGTAGGTACCCACATAGGATTTAACACCCTAAACCCTAAACCCTAAACCCTATATTCCTTAAACTAAGGGGTTTTTGAGCCTCTGGGACTGCTGTGTTCCGAGGTCGGCACGGAGGTTCACGTCTGCGCCGGCTCCCTTGAGGTCCATGGGCCTACTCAGGGTTTAGGGTTTAGGGGTTTAGGGTTTTAGGGTTTAGGGGTTTAGGGGTTTAGGGTTTAGGGTTTAGGGTTTTAGGGGTTTAGGGGTTTAGGGTTTCGGAGCGTGTTCTGCATTGTGTGTCAGTACTTGGAGGATTGTGTGACTTAGTAAGTATGGGGTTATAAAGAAGGCGAGTTCAGTTGTAAATACTGCTAGCCCCAATCAGAAGCTAATTGTAATCTTACTCAATAAGTTCCATGATCATCCAAGTAAGCGTTCATGGCTTAGCGTCTGGATTGAGGGTTTTGGGGGGTTTTGGCTTGTAGGGGTTATGGTTTACTCAGTTACTTTACAGGCTTTCTTGTTAACAGACAGTACTCTATAATATACCAAGGAAACCCTGTTGGGGGATGAGGTTCCCCGAAACCCGAGCCCGAACCCTTTCAGCCCGTGACCCCGGATGTCCAGGTAATCATAGAGTCATGGGGTCAGCGGTGTAGGGTTACCCTAAAAACCGTTAAACCCTAAATCCTGAACAACCTTTCAGGGTTTACAGCATGACTTGGGTCGTCGCGATAGTGTTGTACGGCTGTAGCCTTGGTTCTTGGAACAGGGAACGTAATCGCCATAGTTGTATCACGTGTGGTACGAGGAGGGCTTCAGGCTAAAGGTTTAGAAGTTGGGTTCTTGTAAGATCTCACGTTATTTGTTGCGTCAACTTAAAACGGTACGGGTTTGCGGTTTGGGCCTAAACCCTAAACCCTAAACCCTAAACCCTTTAGGGTTTCAGCCTTCAGCCCTAAATCGTTAGGCTCCCTGTGGAGGCAGAGAACCTGCCTCCCGTGCACAGTTTTCTGCCTTGGCGACGGCCCAGGAATGGTGCTATCAGGGTTTCCGGGTGTAGGGGCTGTAGGGGTTTACCAATAGCCTCCATGGTAGTTCCCTTTTTAGGGTTACCTTATGGGGTCCTAAGTATATAATGGGTTGAAACCAAAAAAACGAGCTACAATGGAGACTATAGGTAGGGTTTAGCCCTAAGCCCTAAACCCTGCAGTTGGAATTCTCAGCCCTAAACCCTAAACCCTACTGAAATTTGGGGGCCTTCGGGGTACTAAGTCCCAAACCGATCCTGTGCTTCGAATTACCCTAAGGGTTCAAAGGACCTGGTAATCATGTACTTGGGTTAGGGATACGAGTGTTCTAGGTTTGCATTCAGAAGAGTATATGGGTAGTTCTCTAAATTAGGGTCCCTATTTGGGTCCCCATTATAGTACGGCACCCTTATAAAAAAAAAGATCCCAAAAAGGACCCTAATTTAGAGAACTACCCATATGGTTATTAGATACCAGAGAAGATACGTCCGGTTGGCGTGTTCGGTCCGAGTGGCTACGTAGCCTGGAGATCACAGCACCTTGTTTGGGTTCTTGTTAAAGGATTTAATTTAAGTTACCATAATAGGGAAACCATATTATTTACTATAGATCCCTATTATGGTAACTCAAATTAAATCCCTTAACAAGAACCCAGTTGTTTAGAATTGCAGGAGAATGTCTTCAATGACACCCGGAAATGTATCTGCTTTTGACATGATCCAAGAGACTGAGGTGGAGAGACTTCCCTTACCCTCCAAGGACTCATATGTTAAGGCTTTTGGGCCCAAAGACCCTATTATATAAGGCTTTTGGGCTATTTTGATGCCAAGGGCTTGAGAGAGCCCCATCCAAGAAGCGAGCCAAGAAGGCCAAGGCAGAGGCAGTGGCAGGAGACATAGCCGCTTCAGAGGCACTTTGGAGAAGATGACATGGAACAAGACAGCTGGGACTCCAAGTCGGATGCCGGAAAGCAAAGATTTGGAAGAGGTTCTAACAGAGATGTCTGAGGAAGAAGTCGAAGCTTTGTTGGATGAAGCTATGGACGAGCACGAGCATAAGGAGCAGCTCCAGTGAGTCGCTTGAAACTGAAGGCTTGCCTGAAGTGCCTGCAGCACCTGAAGGCACGGATATCGGTTGACATATGGGGGTTTCCGAAAATAGGGGACCCTAATATAGTACCCTAAATAGTAGGATCCTTATTATAAGGACCCCAAAATAAGGTACCCATATTTTCGGAAACTCCCATATCTTTCGAAGGCAGACCGTGTTCTCATCAAGTGGTGTGCTCTTGCCATGAGTCAGACACGGCTGCCACTGGCACAAGATGCACAAGAACACAAAGTGGGCGCAACAATGCCGACAGGGATCTGACTGAAAAACTGGCCGGAATCATGACAGCAAGGCAAGTCCCACCGACAGGGAGTAGAGAAGTTCTTGAAGCTTTCAGATGAATTGGACAAGTGTTGCTGGGCATGGCCACAAACTTTTTATGAACGCTTGTATTTGGGTTACATTAGACTGTGGGTTCGCAATGCGGATAGTTTATAATGTAGTGACCCGATTTGGAAGTCCCCGGCGCCAAGCACCCTGTAGAATTTGATCATGAGTTGGACCCCTACTTGGAGGTTCATGGGTAGTTACAAGTGGAGTTATAAGAAGGCTACCTATAATTATGACCCATATTAGGGGACTTGTAACCCAAGTTATAACTACCCATGAACCTCCAAGTATCCGGAGCAAGTGCATCTTTACATTCAAGGCTGTATTGCATAGCTTTGAAATTGGGGGTTGGGAGGTTCGGGGTGGTGCTGTGGTGCATTATTGTGACAGCATTGTGCCGATATACTGGATATTATTACAGTATTGGTTCTATCACCGTTATGATATAAACTGTTGGTCCAAGTTCTGGTTGTACACTCTAGGCGGCCTTAACAGACAAGGCTAGCCGACAAGGGGATGTTGTTTGTAAGTGTTCGTTCAGACCTCTATGACTCTATGCTACGTACATCGCCCACTGCTAAAGCTATATGCGCTGCTAGAGCTGAGCCTCACGATGCTCCTACATCCATGGCCCTGAACCCTAAACTGTCGGAGCCTTATTTCCCCTAAACCCTAAACATCACCAACACCCCCAAACCGGACCCCAAAACCCCAAACCCTAAACCCTAAACCTTAAAACCCTAAACCCTAAAACCCTGAACCCCAAACCCTAAAACCCTAAACCCTTAAAACCCTAAGCCCTAAACCCTAAACCCTAAAACCCTAAGCCCTAAACCCTAAACCCTAAAACCCTGAACCCTAAGCCCTAAGCCCTAAAGCCCTAAACCCTTAAAGCCCAAAGCCCTAAACCCTAAAGCCAAAAGCCCTGAGCCAAGGCGCAAGGATGAGGCGCCCCCTTTTCTTGGCTTCGTGCCGGCGACGAAAAAGGAGAAGCAGAAGGACTGCGGTTTGGGGATGTGGGGATTTGGGGTTTAGCGTTTAGGGGGTTTGGGGGGGTTGGGGTTTAGGGTTTAGGGTCTTTGGGGGGTTTGGGGTTTCAACTTTGGGGATTTTGGGGTTTAGGGTTGAAGGGCCTTGGCCAAGCTTACTGATATAGGGGCCTTAATCATTACCTATACTATTTTGGGGGGTTCCTTATTCTAATCACAGTATAATGTACCCCAAAACCTTTTTCTAATTTTTACGGCAGCAGCCCTTATATTAAACACCCTGAAGCCCTGAACCCCAAAAGCCTGAGCCCTCTTGAAAACCCTGAACACTTTTCTCTCCTAACCCTAAACCCTAAACCCTGCAAAGCCATGCTAGGCGAAACAAGCCGTAGCAGCAAGAGGCCTGGCGGGGCTTGGCCTTTCCAGAGGACACTTTAGGATCTAGGGTTCAGGGTTTAGGGTTCGGGGAAATAGGGGTTTAGGGTATATGGGGCTTTCTTAAGCCTGATGGGGGGTACCGGTACCTATCGTTTGTTTTTGTTAGGCTTGTGCTCTGAAACTTCTTTTCGGCCATGGAAGTCGGCTGGGGTTGTAGTTGAGCTCGGAGTTGTAGTTTTTCCGGGACAGTTTTAGGATGTAAGCCTGGGCAACTTCACTTGGGTCCGGGGAGGGGGGTTAGGAACTAGCTAGCTTTGAGTCCTCCTAAACCCTAAACCCTTAACCTGAGGTTCAAAAAGTATAGGTGTCCTTCCGCAGCGACTCCATCTTGGTAGTTTTTTCCGCTATTCATCTGATTGCACTGCTGGGCACCCTAATTCCTACAGGGGCCTAGGTTTGGGAGGGGGTTTCTAGACCCTAAACCCTAAACCCTAAACCCTAAACCGAGCCCGAAGCCTCAAGCCTTGCAGCCCCACCTCAATTGGGAGGGCCACACCTCAATACAGAGGGCCCGGCTGTCTGTCGGTGCTGAAGAACTCCTGCGAGGTACTGCATCTCTAGGAGGTCCTTGCGTTTAAAAAATCTCAGAATCTCAGGGCTGAGTAGGTATTTATGATCCTACTATAATTCCAAAGGTTAACCTTTTGTGGGCCAGGGTACTCAGCCCCTAAGTAATAAGGCCCTGGCAGCTCGGACCGAAGGAGAGCCGCATACCCTTCAATCTGGGAATGAAGGTTTAGAGGTTAGGGCTTTTTGGGTTTCAATATGGGAATTCGTGTTTCGGGTTTAGAGGTTAGGGCTTGGGGGTTTCATTATGGGAATTCCGGTTTAGGGGTCTGGGGTTGAGGGGTTTCTTTATCGGAATTCGGTTGAAGGTTCAGGGGCCACGGCTGGGGGGTTTCATTATGGGCATTCGGGTTTAGGCTTTAGTGAAGTGCCTCTATGTAGGCCTTCTGGTTGTGCTTTTGAGCTGCATTCCTCAGTTAAGGGGAACCCTAAACCCTAACACCCTAAAACCCTAAAACCCTAAGCCCTGAAGCCCTAAACCGCCCTTTAAAAGCGCCATGGCAGGTGAGTTGAAAGTCCAGGGTGGTTGCAGCTGCGGAAGCTGCCGTTTCGTACTCACCAGGCCAGGGAGGGCTACTGTAAGGGCCTTAATAGTTAGAATAGGGTTTTGGCAGTTCCATTAAAGGGATCCGAAAAGGGTTCTATAAGGGCTACTATAAGGGTTTAGGATGTAGGGGCCTTAGTAATTAGAATAAATAATCAGGAACCCTAAGCAATAATATTGCACTTTGCCAGCTTGAACTGGCCGGCGACCGCGTTCCAACCTGTTTGGGATGTGTGCTTAGTTGTAAAGGAGGGTTATAGCTCCCTAACATGGGCTACAACCTTCTTTATGACTAGCCATGAAACCCTACTAGACCCTACTAAACCCTACTAAACCCTAAACCCCAAAACCCTAAACACTGAACCTCCAATTAGGCAGCTTACTATGGCTTTCTAGGTCTCCCGGCGGGCCCTTTTTGCCCTTTTTGTGGCCTTGGGCTCCTTCTGAGACTACCCGGAGCCCTGTTTATTACTAGGATAGTGGGGATCCCGGCTTTTTGTATAGAGGTCTTTTCGGTCTAGGGGTTTGGGGGGTTAGGGGTTTGGGGCTTTAGGGGTTTAGGGGTTTGGGGGTTTAGGGGTTTAGGGTGTAGGGGTGTAGAGGTCTGAATAGCCATTCGCTCCTGAATCCTGGACAGCTGCGCCACGGGTCTGGGATGCAGTAACTTGTTTTTTTGGTTTAGGGTTTAGGGTTCTGGGGGGGCAACACCCTGAGGCTCTAAGGACTCATATTTTAAGGCTTTTGGGCCCAAAGACCATACAATATGTAAGGCTTTTGGGCTATATTGAGCCTTAGGGACAGTCTTAATTTTTTTCGTTTTCATCGTATCAGACTGAAAGAAGGACCTGCATGGGCCAGCAGCATACCATGTGGCTCTAGTCTAACTCTTGACCCTAAACTCCAAACCCTAGCCCCTAAAGCCCCTAAAGCCCATCCTAGTCCGTAAAGCCCCTAAAGCCCTAACCCCAAAATCCTAGCCCCGAAAGCCCCTCAAGCCCTAACCCCAAAAACTTAAATCCTGTAACTTCAAGCCCATGTAATGAACGACCCCTAAACCCTAAACCCTAACGATCCATGAGTCTCCTTTTGGGATGTCGGGGCTTCTACGGCTTTGACGAAGCCAGAGCCAGGCTCCCTAAAGGATTCGACAAACAGAAGCCGGGTCCCCCTAAACCCTAAACCCCTAAACTCCCAAACCCTAAACCCTAAACCCCTGAATCCTAAACCCTAAACCCTTTAAGCCCCAAATCCTAAACCCTAAACCCCTGAACCCTAAACCCCGAAGCCCTACACCCCTCAGGGTTGAGGGTTTCAGGTTTAGGGCTTACGGTTTCCGCCAGGTTCCCTGAAGAGTTTCAACACTGCTACTGCAGCAGTTGCCGGAAGAGACATGCCTGCAGTGGTTCAGAGAGTGAGTACACATGGGAGTTTCCGGAAATAAGGCTACCAAAATTTTGGGGTCCTTACAATAAGGATCCTACTATTTAGTGTACTATATTACGGTCCCCGATTTTCCGGAAACCCGCATGTGGCAAACATCCAACAACTATCCGAAGCTTCATTTTTGCAGAAATCTCCGAGCTGTATTTGACATGAACGGTTTAAGTCATCCCGACCCCTCCTGATATTTTTTGGGTTTAGGGTTTAGGGTTTTGGGTTTAGGCTTCTGAAATCGGATGTCGGCATACTCTGGTTTGAGGGCTTTGGATCGAGGCTTAATGGTTTAGGTGCTCACCGATTTTTGTGTTTGGTGTTTACCTTTGTCGGGCCTTTTCCAAGACCCATCTCATCACAGGAGCCCAGATAAAGTCGACCCCGATCATGTATATAAGGTGGAGGGTTTAAGGAAGTTGGAGTTTGAATAGTTTCTGCTTTTAGGGGGTTTGCAGTACTTAGTTGTAGAACGCATTACCTTTAAACCTGTTGGTGTACTAATTAACCCCTATGTAATCCGAAAAGTTGGCCTTTAGTTCCCCGAGGATACTGGACAAGTAAGGCTCTAGGGTTCAAGGACGGAAACGGCTCAAAGTGTCAAGGGTTCGGGGTCCAGTTCAGGATAGGCCACTCTCTCGGTCAGAACCCTTGGTTTTTTAGGAACTGCAGAAACCCTGCTCTAGAAGCCGGAATGGTTAGTAATACTATTCCCGATACTCACGTCATTATTTCTGTATCAGAGAAGCAAAGGGAGACGGAGATTCTGTTGATGATAAAAATCCTGCATGACCTTAAGGACCCTAAACTATGGGAACGATGGTATATTCCTCATTATGGGTAATGCAGGATTTAGATCATCAACCGTAGTGAGATCGAGAGCAGAGAGCCCCCAAACCTTGACCACCAGACCCCACTGCTCGAAGCCCGAATCCAAATCTGACACCCCGACTTCCGAATTCTGCCCTAAACCCTAAACCCGAAGCCCCTAACCCCTAAACCCTAAACCCTAAACCCCAACCCCTAAACCCTAAACCCCAACTCCGTATTCTTCAGCCCAAAGCCCTCAGCATGGCACCCCCAAATCCTGAACCGATGTCTGCCCTAGAGCTTACACCCCTTAAAGCCTGAGTGTGTGTTCTCGGTGTTGGGGTGGGGGTATTTTGGGAGTTTCCGAAAATTAGGGGTACCTTGTTTGGGGGTCCTTATATTAAGGATCCTATTATTTAGGGTACTATATTAGGGTCCCCTAATTTTGGAAACCCCCATTTAGGGTTTAGGACTCAGGGCCTGAGCCCCAGAAGCCCTACCCATAGGCCCCATAGTAGTTCCTTGTCGGGGTTCATATTTAAACTCCTCTAGGGTAATCCCAAAAAGGAACTACTATGGGGCCTATGGGTAGAGTATTCCCAGGCTTTCGGGCGCCGCCTGGCAGACATGGATGCCTACGGAGGTCCGCAGGATCTACGTCAAATGCCTGAGGGTTGAAGATTGCTTGGAGGTTCGTGGGTAGTTATAAGTGGGGTTATAAGTAACCTAATTAGGGTTATAATTATAGTTACCCTACTTATATAACCCCACTTATAACTACCCATGAACCTCCAAGTGAGGTGTTTTGGATTTTGGGTGTTGGGGTTTGTGGCTTTAGGCTTTAACTAGGGTTTACGGTTTAAGAGATCTTCCTAAAGTATTCGTTTTATGGTCAACGAACCTTCCTGTGAGGCTCTGATAGTATGGACTTCTATTCGGGTTTGCGGGTGCGGAGTTGTGTCTGCTACACAAAGCGGTGTTTGTGGGGTCCACAGAATCGCGAGCCCGACAGATTTGGGGGCAGCTGGGACGATTTTCTCTGCGGTTCCAACAACTGGTGTAGTAAGACTGGACTACAGTCACCTGCAGACAAAACTTTGAACCTTGTACGGACGCTGTAGTATTACATTGTAATACTTCTAAACTACTTAGTTCCCAAATACCCAACCTTTAAACTTTTTGGGTTCTTATAAGTTAAACCCTAAAACCTAAAACCCAAAAACCCTAAAGCCTTGAAGAACGCCTCGTCTGAAAGCCCCTAAAGCCCTGGGCCCTAACCCGAAACCGCAAACCCTAAACCCAGCCCCCTAACCCCGACCCCCTAAAGCCCTAAGCCAAAAAGCATCCCTTATTTGGGGTTTAGGGTTTAGGGATTTGGGTTTAGGACAGCTGCCCCTAAAGCCGCTACCCCTAACCCTTACTTGCCACAGATGCAGTATATAGTAAGCAAGTAACTGAGGCCTGTTTCAGAGGTTACCCAGTTACTAGATCCCATGATCCTTTAAGCACCCTTTACTCATCATGATGTCTTGGTGTAGACTTCACTTTCTGGGGCATTATTTTCAGAATAGCGTTTGCGACAAAGCTGGCATATACCTTCATAAATGGAGGGATCCTTGGTATGATCTAATGTTAGCCGGAAATCCCGTTAACCAAAGCACTACATTACAAGGAAGATATGCCTTAGATTCCAGAGGAGTCGTTTGTATTATCTATATCATGCTGCTGAATTCAGGAGTGTTTGGCCCTTTGTTCCGGGCACCTGAATTTGCGAGACTCAGAAAACCTGATGTCGGAACACTCGGCACCACATACACAGACATGAGCGGTAGCACATGGGGGTTTGCGAAAATAGGGGACTCTAATATAATACCCCAAATAGTAGGATCCTTATTATAAGGATCCCAGAATAAGGTACCCCTTATTTTCGGAAACTCCCATATAGTCCTAGCATAGAATCATGGAAATGTGTCTATGATGTGCCCTCCTTGGGTAAGGCATCAAAGCGTCACCGACCCTAATATCGGGATTTTCGCATGGGAGCTCCTGGAGCTGTCTAAATCATGTCTGCAGTGCCTGAAACGGTTCTTGAGTTTAGGTACAGGGTTTCAAGTTTTTGGGGTTTGCTGTTGGGGTTTAGGGTGGCTTTGGGTCTGGTTCAGGGAGAGGCTTGGAATTCTTGGCTCGGAAACATACACTGGTCACCAGTCCTTGTGGCAATTCCTGCTGCTTGGGCGTTGTGCGGGGTGAGGGGGGTGGGGGGCGTTGGCCTTTGTTTCCTAAACCTGCAATCCGAGGACAGAAGGGTAACATGCCGAAGCATGAGCAACCATGATCCCATTCAAAACTGCACAAACTCGATGTTGAACCCTTGCACCTTATCAATATCCGGCAAAATGCATGACAAACCCCATGAGTCCCTGTTAAACTTTGTGAAAGACTCCTAGAACCCTTAGCGAGCCCTTATGGCATCCTGTGAGCCCTAAACCCTAAACCCTAAACCCTAAACCCTAAACCCCTAAACCCTAAACCCTAAACCCCTAAACCCCTAAACCCCTAAACCCTAAACCCTAAACCCCAGCTTCCGGAAGCCCAGGATCCAAGAGCTTCGACCCATGAGCTCCAACACTCACATGAAACCTAAGTGGGAGTTTCCGAAGATTAGGGGTACCTTATTTTGGGGGTCCTTATAATAAAGATCCTACTATCTAGGGTACTATATTAGGGTCCCCTATTTTCGGACACCCCCACATGAAACCTAAGTCAAAACTATCCAAAAGTATGATCACCAGTAAGTTTGGGAATTGCTCTTTTTGTTTTTGTGTTTAGTTGTTGTGAATGTTACGACGACGACGTCGACGACAGCTGCTGCTGCCCCTTGTCCAAGACAGAGAAACCAGTATTCCCTGGGCGGGCGTACCCCCAAGTTGGATGTGATGCAAATGTTGCTAATTTCTTTGTCGCTTCTCTGGTACAACTGTCTCCGTGCCGTCAACCTCCGTTTGCACGCCCCCCAAACCGTAAGCCGTTCAGTAACGCATTAACCCATAACATCCGACATTGTGCAATTACGCAGATCCACATTCTACACCTGTCTGTTAGTTAGCCATCGCAGCCGTAAATTATGAAGCCCTCAACCGAGGCTTCTTTCGCAGCGTGGTGGGGCGGCAGAGCATGAGGCCCGTTGGCTGCGAGATCGGATTCCGATACTGTGGACATAGCAGCTTTTGTTCCGGCAACCCTCTCCTAAACCCTAAACCCTAAACCCTTTAGGCATGCCCGAGAGTGAGTGCTGAAACCCTTAACCCCTCAACCCCTAAACCCCTAAACCCTAAACCCCAAAACCCCTAAAACCTTATCATTGAGGCCCAAGGATCCCTCCTTGTAGCGAACTACGGTTGAGAGTCGAGAGACTCTGAGTTTTGAGCCGGGGTCATGTTCATGCCCGCCGGTTTAGTTAAGTAATAGAGAAGCACTAATCAGCCGTACTCCCAACTCCAACTTTCGAGAACTGCCTGTGCTTCCTAAGTATGTAAATCAAAGAGCTCGCATTCGTTGTTGTAGTGCACGAACCTCATGTGTCAGCCCTGGGACCCAAAACCCCAAATCGTAGTGAGGCAAAAAGTCGTTATGTGTTTGCAGACAGCAAGATTCAGATTCAGCAGTTCGAAACCCCATACCCTGAACCTACCACACTATGTTCTGTTTCGCATGCACTCGCTACGAAGACCGTGTTTACCCATTCTGAAATGAAAAGGCGCGGAGTAAAAGTCCTATAGTTTGTAAACTGAATGAACTCTTTAGGCCACAGAAGCTGACACCTTACGCAAGTTCAAATTCTGAACCCTCAACCCTAAAGCCCGAAACTCTACACCCAACCCTGAACCGCAGGCGTCACGCAGGTTCAAGTCGGAGTTTCTCATCCACATGGATGGGCTGCGTGAAGCTCAGTCCGCTCTTGATCTAGTTCTTTCCATGGCTGTCGGGCTTTCTGGTGCTGTTGGGTTGTATGTTCAAAGGTTGGGTGGAGGGGGGAGGAGGGGGCGGGGTTCAAAACCTGCGGGGTTAAGGCCCCAGGATTCTATAGCCAGAAACCCACATATGTATGCTTATAATATATATATATATATATATATATACATATACACATAAAAATATCGTGAGTCGTTGGCCTTTAAACGTGCCTGCTGTGCTAAGTGCAAAGATTGCGGTTGAAAGCGTTTGCTTGCGAAATGCATCCTCCGGAAAGTGCTTCTTTGCGCCTTTCTCCGAAGGTTGTGAAAACCTTCCGACCTATTACCCCTGCCATGCAGGCTCGTCCTTGCGAAGCAGGAGGCAAAATCGAATCTCAAGATCCCAAACCTAAGCCGCAATGACGGTTAATTGGTAGGTGAACCCTAAGGCTCCATGTACCCATATAGTAGATACCTAAGCCTTAAAGTACCTCTGTAGGGACCCCTTTAAGGCCTAAGTATCTACTATAAAGGTACATGGAGCCTTTGGGGAAGCTGGGCATCCTAGATGGTGCTGAGTGTCGATCTACTGTGCATCTGCCACAGATCCGAATGTACCCTGCAATGCGGGCTCGTCCCTGCTAAGTAGGAGGGAAACAAGCTAATAAAGAAGCCCAACAGGGGAACCTAATATAGTAGCCTAAATAGTAGGATCCTCATTACAAGGACCCAAAATAAGATACCCCCTAATTTCGGAAACTCCCAAATAAATATCAAGATTGTTCCCTCAGGGCTCCCTGTTATACCTATACTCTAAAGGAGCCCAAAGCCCTAGTCCAATTTTTAAGGTCCCTACATTAACCTCGTGGCTTTACTGCGATCGGGCTGAGGCTCAGTGAGACGGGCGATCAGCATGGGCCACTGCTCTGCAAGAGCTGGTGGTCTTCGGGTTTAGGTTGAAGGGTTTATAGTTTAGGCCTTAGGGTTTAGGGTTCAGGGTTTAGGGTGGTCTTCAATTGACATTACAAGGTCTCTTCACATGTACCCTGAAAAGTCTTCTTAATTATTAAAGCGGCCTCGGGATTGAGGCCACAGGAGCACCTCACTTTGTTTTGCGACTCGTGAGCCGGGCTTTGAAGTCCGGAAGTTTCGCTTTTGGGGTCTGGGCTTGAGGGCTTCGGCATAGGAGATATCGCCTAAACCCTAAACCCTAACCCTAAACCCTAAACCTTAACCCTTAGCCCTAAACCCTAAACCTTAACCCTAAACCCCAAACCCTAAACCTTAACCCTAAGCCCTAAACCCTAAACCTTAACCCTAAACCCTAAACCTTAACCCTAAGCCCTAAACCCTAACCCTTAACCCTCAACCCTAAACCTAGCAGGCACCTCTTCGTCTTGGCCACCAGCAATGCGCCGTGGGATCTGGATGAGGCCACAGGTTTCGGGTTCTGGGCTCAGGGTGTCTTAGGGCTTAGGGCTTGGGGTTCGGGGTTCAGGGTTTAGGGTTTAGGGTTTGGGGCTCAGGGTGTCTTGGGGCTTGGGGTTTGGGGTTTAGGGTTTAGGGTGTCTTAGGGTTTGGGGTTTAGGGTTCAGGGTGTAGGGTTTTGGGTTTGGGGTTCTGGGCTCAGGGTGTCTGCTCGATGGTTTAGTTTAGGGCTTGGAGGGGATGCTCACCTTTGTATATATTC